GGCTGGGAAAGGTGTTTTGGAGAGGGTTTGTCCCCGCGCTCCTCTGGGGACCCACGAGCCGGCGGAGGGGGCTGGGACCAGGCACGTGTTGGTCGCAGGGGGCCCTCCGGTCCTGTGAGCCAGCCTCAGACGCAACACTCACGGCGCTGCCCGCAGGCACCTGCTCCCAGCCGTCCCCTGGGAATCACCCCGATTTTGGCAAAGGGGGTTACAACACGGAAGTTGCACCTGAAAATATAGTCTGTAACAAATCTAAGGATCAGCTGGGATTTTTGTTCCCAGCCCCATTTCTTAAACCGCCAAGTGTCTGGGAAATGGGAACAGTTTCTTCTACTTGGCTTTGGTTTTGTTATTACTACTCTGTGGGGACCACTGGAGCGCCTTGCGCGCATGACACGTCTCCCGCACACAGGAAAAGCCGCGTTCGCTGTCTCTCTCTGTCTCTGCCTCCTTCCTCTGTTCTCCCGTTTCAGCCCCTTCCTTGCCTTCTGCCCCTCTCGTTGAATTTCCCCTTCACAGCTAAAGCCTTTGTTACTGAAAGGTTTGCAAATGCGAGGAGCCCGACCCATAAGCAGGGAGCGCAGTTCGGGGCTGAGAGCGCAGAGGCAAGGCCACCCCCGCGCCCCTCCGCTGCGGGATTGCCCGCGGCGCCCAGCCCCGCGCAGGCGCCCCGGACTCTGTCCCATGAAATCCGGCGTCCTGGGGTTGTTAGACAGTCAGCTCGGAAGGCCGGCGGGCCAGGCTCCCCGGGCAGCGATTTCCCAGAGGGAGAGGCGGCCCCGGAGCCCAGCAGTGCGGGTCCAGGAGGGAGAGAGGAGTCTCGCCCGAAACTGGGAGTGAGCGTGTGGCAGCCGGGGAGGCTGCGCATCACCACCGATGCGTCCCGGAGCCGGGTGCAGAGATGCCCCGCGGTGCTGTGGTGAGACTGGGGGTCTGAGGGGCGCCGTGTGTCTGTGGCTTCCAAACGCCCCAGTCCCTGACTTCACAGATAGCACCCAGAGGCCGGCCGGCCACGCCGTCCCATGTGCAGTCGCACCAGGCTGGTGACGCAGGCGGGGCTGTGAGCAGCAGCTCCCCGCCGGCGCTGACGGTGACCCGCGTGTCCCCAGGGTGCTCGGCGGTGGGCCCGGCCAGGCCTGGTTCTGTCATCCAGAGCTCTGCGGCAGCGGGCTGCAGACTCTGCCCCGGATGCCTGGCCTTTCCTTCCAACACAAGCAGCTCCCCGCTGAGCCCTTGTCCGCGCAGCCTCCGTGTGCGGTCCCCGTCTGCGTGCGCGGCGCCTACCCACCCTCCTCGGGTGGAGGCGTCCCTGGCAGCCTGCAGCTTCGCTCTCTTCACGCCCGCGCCAGTCCGTCTCTTGGTTCGAGAGCTCTGCCTCCCTGCTTCCTGTCATCTTCTGTTAGGCTCTGTATTTATACCTCAGGCTTCTAAGAGAAACGGTGATACTGAGGTTTGAGTGTCTGCTATATTTCAGGTAACATTATGGTCGAGAGGTGCACCCATTTTCCTACAGATGACTCAGGTGTATCTTTCTTCGTGGCAGAATAGTACTCCGTGGTGTGTACATACCACACGTTCTTTTGAGGCCGGCCTGGGCTGCACAGTGAGTTGAAGGCTTGGACTACACAGTGAGACCCTGTCTCAAAAAAAGAAAAAAAGGGCAGTGGCAGCTTGGGGTACTGGCTGCGTCCATCCCTGAAGCAGGTGTCCCAAGCGAGCCATGAGGTGAGGAGGCTGGAACCGCAGCAGGCCCTGCCCCTGGCTTCCTTTGCCTCTCTGCTGTGTGTCCCCTGGGCTTCTGGGCAGCCCCTCATTGGCCAGCGTCCCGGCACCCTGTACCGGAAATTTACAGTTGGATTAGGGGTGCCTCCTCCATCCCTAGCACCCGCGAGCAGTGGAGAATCCTAAGTGCGTAGTGCAGGAAGACACTACTGGATCTGTGCAATGTTTTTGTTGGTTGAGTTTTTGAGACAAGTTCTCAGTAGGTAGCTCATGGAGGCTTGAACTCACTGTGGAGTCTAAGCTGGCCTTGAACTCATTCGCAGGGATCCTCCTGCCTCAGCCTCCCGAGTGCTGGGATGACAGGCATACACCAGCACGCCTGGCTATAGCATAATTTAGTTGCTACAACTTTCTTCGTGACCCGATCATCTACCAAAAGCAAGTTTTAGAAGAAATTGTTTTCTCAATCCTGAAATGTTTAAAGGAGATGGATAGACACATTAAGATTAAGTTTGCCCACAGTGTTTTTGGGGGAAGCCCTTAAATACTCTTCCCTTTCAGATCGTGGGAGATAACTGCCCACAAAGGACAGTTACAAAAACCAAGCCAGGTGTTTAGGGCTCTGTGAGGAATCTGCTGCCTCATTATTTCATTCTAGGAGTTCGGCTGCTTCTGGGTGTATGATAGAGTAACGACTCGGATAGACCCAGTGACACTGGAAACGCTGTCCTTTGAGGATTATTTTGTATGCCCTCCTGACCCTGCTGAGTAGCTGCAGAAGTCCTTAGCATGCAGTTGGGAGACATCACTTAACACCAACCCTGATTTAAAAGGAGATGTTGACTGTCTCGTAGAATTTATCAGCCACTGTACTGCGAGTGAAAACAGCCCATGGTAAAGCTAAGAAATCAGAAGTAAAACCAAGTTGAGCGCTTTCTGTACTGTGTTCATACTAGGTTCGTTCACAACAACTGATTATTCCTAATACACTGGCCTTTCCCGGAGTGTGTCAGAAATGTTCATGCCTGAAACAAATCTAAGAAGAGTCCTCCAGGCCTGGTGGTGCATGCCTGCAGTCCCAGCACTCTGAGGCTGAGGCAGGAGGACCGCTGAAAGTTGAGGCCAGCCTGCACTACATAGTGAGACCCTGTCTCAAAAAAGCAAAAGAAGAGTCACCACCCCAAGGGAGGGTCTTCTTACCCCGTTATGTCCCTACGAGATCTTTCTGAGAAAGTCAACTTTCTGGAACAGCCTCTTTGCTTTGATTCAACCTCATTTATTCTTATTTGAAAGCGTTCTTCCTAAAAAGCCAGTTAAGTAGGAAACACAGAAAAAATCTGCAGACGTTTTCCTTTTACTTGAAATTTCTCCATTTGCAAATTTGTACACTTCCAACTCAGTTTTTAATGTTTCAAGGAAGAATCCAGGGAAATAAATTTTATTTCAAATGCACCCTGGCCCGAGACGACACGTTTGAAATCTCTGGTCAGCACCCGTGGGCCGCGAGGCTGTGTGGAAACTGCGCTAGAATCCAGGGGCTGTCCTTCACGCGGTGCACAGTGAGCCGAAGCCGCCCCGGTTCGGGTTCCGGTTCCGCAAGAGGCCACCACGCTGACCCGCAAGTGCACGCGAGGTCTGCCCGCAGGAGCAGGGCTGCCAGCTTCCTGGCCTCGCCGTTTTCCGGGCCCGGCTTATCCCAGGGGTGTGCACGGTATGTGCGTGTGAGGAGCCGCAGGCGTTCGGGGCTGTCTTCTTTGGACACGGTGCGTATGGTTTGCTTTTTTAACGTCCCTAAATCATCTGCGTGAGATGTTTTATTAGGAAAAGCAGGGTCAGGGAAGCAGACGGTTGTCTGTTCCTAAACAAGCCACATCTCCAAGTCCTCGGGGTCAGCTGTCACCACACGGTGCTCTGGCCAGCTCGGAATGCGCCTGGGACGCGGCGGGGCACAGGGACCCAGCCCCAGTAACGGCGTGAGCGGTGAAGTCACGTGAGCCCGGGCCGTCACCTGCACGGAGCGTTCCGGGACAGGAGGACTGCACGCGTGTCCCTGTCAGCCGGCCACACTTTCAGGGGCAGTGACCACCACCGCAGCCTCCCATAGGAATCTGCAGGCGCACATCTGCTAAGAGTGACCTTGACCGGGTGCGACGCCGGAACCCGCATCTCTGCATGGGTGGAAGTGAGCGCACCTGGCTGGTGGACGTTAGGGTCCCACTGCTCAACTTTATGGAGACAAATGGTGCTCTGTGTGAGGCATCCAAACGGTTTGTGGACATCCCACTCGTTCTTTTTACAGTGTTTGTGACACACCTTCCCCGCCCTTCTTTTCTTTCACACTGAAACCCGAGACCCATTGGGTGGCAGGACGCTGCCGTGGCCATGGGAAGCGTGGGACAGGGACGGGCTGGGTGCCCGGCCGTGCTGGGCCCTGTGTCTCCAGGGCAACGCACTCCTTGGACTACAGGTTGGTAAAAGCCTACTGCCCAAATGCCACATGTGAGATGCGGGGACGTCAGAGCCCAGCACTAATTCTCCAGCCTGCAGGGAGTGTCGTTGTGGCCCTGTCCCCTCCCCGCAAGACCGGGATGAAGATGCGAACGCAAGGTCATCGAGGACGGAGGGGGGACAGCCGACACGATGCACCCTGGTTCATGGTGAGCAGCGTCCCCGGGACCCCACTTCAAGTTGTAGATGTGTGGAACCTCGGAGCCCATGGACCGTGGCAGCGTGGCCCGTTCCAGAATCCAGGCTGCCTGCCGTGGCGGGTGGCCGAGCCCCTTAGCCTCAGCTGTAGCCCCAGCAGTGGTTGTTGACTGTTAGAGACACTCAAAGGGGTATTTAGAAAAGTCAGTGGCAACTGCAGGAAAGATGTGCTCAGGGCTGCAGAGCTGTGGGCTGGGGTGGCTCTGACGGAGAGGGGAGTGTCCCCGAGTTCTGCAGTAGAAGGAAGGAGCCAGGCGTGGTGGTGCACATCTGTGACCCCCACACTCAGGAGGCTGAGGCAGGAAGTTCACTGAGAGCTCTAGGCCAGCCTGGACCACATGAGGAGATCTTGCCTCGAAAGACAAGACAATGAAGAAGGAATGCCTTGTGAAGACCCTGGCCAGCGCAGCACTGCGTCCACCTCCTGCGTTCCCTCGGAGGTGGGGCTTAGGGTTGGCTGCGCAGGCCTGCCTGGAAGGTGGAGCCCCTATATCCTGGTGGAAGCTCTGCACCCGCCCAAACCTGACTCTGAGGAGGCGCAAAGTGCAGTGCAGGACGAACGTACATGGATCACACAGAAATGCACGCTGCAGCCTTGAAATCCAGACTCGGAGATTCTAAATCTCCCCGCGCTTCACGGCCACAGCACCTCAGACAGAGCCCGGAACCTGCGGGCCTGGATTCCCGGGACGACGCTCATGCAATGCGCTGCGCAAATGGGCACTGGGGTGAGAGGACCGGATCGCACCCCTCCGCCCGGGAGGAGGAGCCCTGGCAGCCCCTGTGGAAACCCCGGGCGTCCCCGTGGGTCTCTGCAGCTGGAGCAGGTCGCCTTCCTCCCTTGCACGTCTGTTTTCTGTGGTGTCACGCTGCCGTTTTACAGTCCACTGGTGGCTCCGTGGGGCGCCGAGACGGTGACTCCGGGTGTCGCTGTGACGGCCAGCGCCCCGCACACCAGGCCTGGCGCTGGCCGTGAGCCTCGCCCACGCTGGTGCAGCCGCACTCTGCTGTGCGGTCCGGCGACACCACCAGCGGCGTGCAGCGGGCACTGGCGTTGCTCCCGAAGGCTGCCGAGCTCTCCGGCTTGGCAAGGCTGGGAGAAGGAGGAGCCCTTGCCTCTCCCGCTGCGGACTGCGGCGGGCTGGGCCGGGTGCACAGCCGCTGAGGACGAGGACCCAGCTGCGCAGCTGCAGCGGGGCGGCCGGGAAGGACAGGAAAGGAAAGCACCGCAAAGGAAAGCACCACGGGCCTCTTCCTGTGCCCTCCGGCTTTTCAACGCCTGCAGCGGCTGCCGGGGCCCTGTCTCCTCGGGGCCAGGGCTCCAGGCTCCGGCGGGGCAGCGGGTCGGCCCTCTGCTCTGCTTGCTTTCCAGGCTTTTGGACCGAGGGCAGTGGGTCCGGTCGTGGGCGCTCAGCCCGCCCCCGGGCAACCTGAGCGGGGGGAGCGGAGACCGTGCAGCCTCGTCCTGCGCACAGCCGCCGGAGCGCACCCTGAGCTCTCCTAGGGCTCACGCCAGGGGTGGCCGGGACACCGGCGAGTGTGTCCTGTCTACAGGGACAGCAGCTGTCGGCTCTCGACAGGGCCCCGTCCAGCTGGCCAGATGAAAGGAACTTACCTTAGAAGTTACATTATGTCAAGCGTGGCACACGCCTGTCATGCCAGCACTCAGGAGGATCGGCACCAGTTCAAGGCCCGCCTGAACTACATAGCAAGACCCTGTCCAAAAAAAAGATTTTTTTTAAAGAGCTTTTCTGCTTTGTCTTTTACAGATTTCCTACACCAAATTGGTTTGCATCAGGGTTGTTTTTAAGGTTCTTTTTTGTCTTTTGGAGACAGAATTTCACCACGCACTTCAGGCTGGCCTTAAACTCACTTTGTAGCCAAGGCTGGCGTCGAACTCACAGCGATCCTGCCGCAGCCTCCCGAGTGCTGCGATTACAGGAGTGAGCCACCACGCCCGGCAGTTTTTAGGGTTCTTGAGCCCCTCTGCTGAACAGGGCTGAAAGGATTCCCAGCTCCTGGTGGCCCCGGGCTGACCCCTCCCTGCAGTGACCTCCAGTCCCCGGCTGTTCTGGGGTGGGAGGGAGGACAGGTGGACGCTCAGGCCTGTTCCTGGCCGGGGCCCTCCCTGGCGGGGACCGAAGCCCAAGCAGGTGCCACCCTGCCTTCTTCACATGGGACAGGGATGCCCTGGGGCCGGCGGCCCACTGCTGGGCTGGGCTGGGTGGTGCGTGGGTTCTGTGCAGACGGGACGGCGGTGCCGCAGGAACAGAAGGGGGTGGAGGGGGGCTACCCGAGGACGTCGACCCTGGTCCCCAGCTTCCAGCCAGGAGCAGCCTTGAAGATAGAAGTGGAGGCGAGGACCAGGGAGCCTCCCGGGACAGGGCCGCCGTCTCGTTACCGGACACAGTCACCGGACACAGCCGGGCCCGGGGCGGGGCAGGGGCCACAGGGCTTGGGACAGAGAGCATCTGCGTGTCTGGTCTTCCCGCCTCGTTCCTTCCTCCTTCCCTTTCTCCTCCTCTGCCTCTCCTTCTGTCGTTTATTCTTCCCCTCTCTGTCTGCAGTGGACTTGTTTCCCCCAGAGAGGAAGGATATTAACGAAAACTCCTGTTTATTTACTGGCGGGGACTGTGAGGCGTTCCTGAGAGGCGTCTGCGTCTGGAAGGAGTTGAGCAACCCCAAGGCCTGTGCACGCGGCAGCTGGTTCACACGCACTCGCTGATATTTCTTTATTTTCCGTGAAATGTCAAGTGGTGTTTTTTGGCCTCTGTAAAAGTCAGTAGGCTTGCAAGACAAAACTGGACTGGGCCCATGAACTGGTTGGGGAACTTCAGGGGTGTCTTATTCACCAGGAGAGTCAAACCTAAAAGTGAGCAGGGCGCAGTGAGCAGGGCACGACGGCCGTGGCGTTCGCCATGCCGCTCCTTCCCCTCCTGCTGGGGCTTGGTGAAAATCCACACGTGCCGCCAGTGTGGCAGGTGGAGCCGCGGCGGCTGCCCCGGGTCCCTGGTTTGCAGGGAGCGGCAGCTCCCTCCTACACCTCCTCCTCAGCCCGGCGCAGCGGTGCAAGCAGGGAGCTTTTGCAAGCTTCCCCCAGTGGCATCCGCAGGACCCGGCCCCGCGTCACACCTGAGGCAGGGCCCGGCACACAGGTGCGTGGAGAACACAGGTTGCTCGGGTTATCTCCAGGGACCGCTGCTAGTGATGAACTCGTGTGCACCTGCCGTGGTGCACAGCAGCCTGGTGCCTCTTTCTGGAAAGGGGAGTTGGGGATGGGGAAAGGCCTCCTTACGGGCGCAGCTGTCAGTTTGTGCTGAGTTGCCTCTTCTGACAGGGACACATGGGCAGAGTGGCCCGGCAGAATGTGAGCCTGGAAGTGATCGCTGTCACTGGCGGAACACAGGGCAGTGACATTTTAAAAACAGCGTATGCTGCCGGGTGCGCTGCTGCACGCCTGTCCTTCCAGCGCTTGGGAGGCTGAGGCAGGACCCTGTCTCAGAAAAACAAACAAGGCCTGGGGATTTAGTTCAGCGGTACAGCGCCTGCCTGGCAAGCGCAAGGTCGTGAGTTCGATTCCCAGTACCAGAAAAAAACCACAACCAAAAAAAAAAGAAAAACAAACAAAAACCAAAGATGCAAAAGTCGATTGTTGGTCGTTCCGCACCTGGTAGCCTGTGTCTTTTCCCCTCTGCCGGGAGACTGACATTCTAAAGAGGGACGCAGACCTCCGGACCCGGGGCAGGATGTGGAAACAGCAGGACAAGCTCTCTCTCGTGTCCTGGGTTCAAACTTCTGAGTTGTTCTGGCTGACGGACTAGTCATTCAACATCTCTGGCTGTCTCCACATCTGCAGATGAGAACGATCACAGCTGTCTCAGCAGCCACTCGCAGGGGACCTGGGACAGGTCTATTATTAGACCTCACTATTGTTCTTGTCTTGGTCTACTTAGTCAGGCCCTATCACCTAGTCTAGTACCAATTTTTTTTTTTTTTTTTTTTATTATTAGACCTCACTATTGTTCTTGTCTTGGTCTACTTAGTCAGGCCCTATCACCTAGTCTAGTACCAATTTTTTTTTTTTTTTTTTTTGGCTTTTTTGAGACAGGCCCTCACTGTGTAGCCCAGGCTGACCTCAAACTCATGGCGATCCTCCTGCTTCAGCCTCAGGAGTGCTGGGATGACAGGTGTGCACCACCACACCCAGTTCTGCTTTTCTTTTTTCTTTTTTTCAAATTAATCTCAAGGAAGGCCAGAGGCAGTGCCCTGCTTCAGAACTTAAGCAAATATAAATGTGAACATCGATGTCTCTGCGTTGAGTTTTCTTTTTTGGGTTTTGGTGTTGGTCTTTGTTTTGTCTCGTTTTGTTTTTCTGAGACAGGCGAGCTGAATCTGAACTGTGCCTCACGGTTCCAGGGTGAATTACCTGACCCAGGAGAAGGCGCCCAGGAGCCGGAAGGCCCAGAAGGGAATTAAGCGACTGGACTCCCGCTCAGTCACAGTGTGAAGTTGGAACTGGGACAGACAGGCCCGTGTGTGAGGTCCACACACAGCACAGACTCAGCCCTGCGCATGGGGCGGTGCAGAGTGCGCAGCCGGGGACCAGGCACACACACAGCACTCAGTAAAGGGCCACTGCATTGTTGTCTTGGTTACTTTTCTCTTGTTGCTGAGACCAAAATACCTAAAGCCCAAAATTAAGGAAGGAAAGGTTTATTTAGCTCCCAGTGTGTGGAGGTTTCAGTCCATACTGGGCTGGCTCCAAGGCAGAGTGGCACATGGCAGGGGACAACAGTTCATGGCAGCGGAAGACAGCAAAAAGCAGCAAGAGCACAAGGGAGGAGCAGTGGCAAGCAGCCTCTCTCCCTCCCTTACATTGTATGCAAACTACCCGCCCCAGGGCTGGTGTAGCACTCACGCCCATAATCCCAGCATTGGATCATGGATCAATCACAAATCCTAAAAGCCTGCCCCATGACTGCCTGAGGCTTTGGGGGGACATGCAGACACAAACCGTAACAGTTGTTTAGAAGGAGATAAAGTACATGGTCTAAATTTTCCAAAGTTCAAGTGAATAGCTGCTATTATTACTGTTGTTGTTGCTGCTATTGTTTAGATTTTGAAACAGTCTCACTATGTAGCCCAGGCTGGCCTTGAACTTGTGAGGGTCCTCCTGCCTCAGTCTCCTCAGTGTGCCACCATGCCTGGAGGCTGAACATGCTTTGTGGTAGAGCTTTTAGTGGTGATTGGATCAGCAAATCATGGAAACATATACTGCAAGGAACACTGGCTGGAGTGAACAAATAGCAATCGTGCGCCCGCAGGATACACAAAGCTGTCAGTCTATTCCGTCTCCCTTGGGCCGTGCTACCTTGCTCACTTGTAATCCTGGTGCGCTCTCAAGCAGTGTTTCCCAGCCTCTCTGGTCCAATTCAGCATCCCACGCAGCGCTTCCTGAGTGGCTTACAGTAAGCTCCTGGGCACCAGGCTCAGGTTCTGCGATGCCTTGCTTGGTAGAGTGGCCTGTGCCCAGGGCCGCTCCCTGACTGTGCCCTGCAGATCTGTGCTCCCCGGAAGGCCGAATTGCGGGGCTAGTGCAGGGTTGCGTGAAGCCCTGTGGAGTGAAAGCTCTTGTTTCAGGTTTCCAAGCCTCTGCTGCCTCCCTGGCCTGGGTTTAGGAAGTCGCTGGGCTGCAGTGACTCACGCGTTCCGCGCCCGCCGACCCCAAGCCGACATTCCCAGATCCTTACACGCTTCGTGAGTTTCTGTCACACACGTATTTAATTATCTGGAGAGGACCTCAGCGGTGTCCCTCAGAGCAGCTGGGAGGAGGAGGAGGAGAGGTTGGCGCTGCAAGTCCCAGGGAAGCGAGCTGGCGCCGCATGGGCACTCACCGCTGTCCTGCACCTGGACGCCCGGTCCCTTGTCCCTTCCGGGTGCAGAGTCGGTCACGGAGCCGGTGTTTGCTGGCTGTGGCTGAGGAGTTGCTGCGCTCTTGTGATTTTTCTCGTGGAAAAATTCCAAGCTGTGACCTCATCTGTGTCAGCGCTGAGCGGGGGTCGGATTTGCTGGGACTTGGCTGTCACTTCTGGACGACCGCTTCTGAACGGGTGTGGCCAAGAAGAGCAGGAAGAACTCATCCTCCACAGATGAGCTCTGTTTTTTGAGAGAGAGGCTGGCTGTACAGTCCAGGCTGGTTTTGAAGTCACTGTGTGTAGCTCAGGGTGGCCTCAAACCTAAGAGAATCCTCCTGCCTCAGCCTCCTGGGTGCTGGGTTTGCAGGTGTCCACCCCCACGCCCAGACTAAATAATTTTAGAGATCTGAGTTATTCCAAAAGAGACCACTCAGAGATTTTTATCTCTTAGGAAAACATCCTCTCAGCTGGCTACACAGTCCATGGAGTTGCATAGTGACAAAGCAAAAGCAAAAGCTTAATGACAGCTTGAATCTGGAGGAGGAGATTGGGGAACAGATTTCATAGGGACACCAGGACCCGCCCTGAAGCCATTTTAATTCTTTTCTATTTTCATAATACAAATTTGGGATGCTTTCAAAATCAGCAGGCCATCCTGCTCTTGGCAGGCCACAGCGGCGCAGCCCACGAGGAGTCCCTGAGTAGAGCCCCCGCCCGTGGATGTGCTGCGTGCGTGCCTGCCAGGTCCCGGACTGCGTGAGCCCCTGGGGAATCACCACACGGTGCTGTGCAAGGCCACACACTCTTTAGGGTTAGTTTTATTTTATTTTATTTTTTGTCTTTTTGAGACAGGGTCTCGCTGTGCAGTTCAGGCCTGCTGTGAGCTCACTTTGTAGCCCAGGCTGGTCTCCAATTTGCAAAGATCCTCCTGCCTCAGCCTCCCGAGTGCTGGGATTACAGGCATGTGCCACCACAGCCGGCTTCCTCTTAGGGTTAGAAGTGTGCAAGCCAGCAGGTTCACGTGGGGCTTTTCGAGTAGTCATGGGAACCACAGGGCTTGCTGACGCAAACACCTGAGATTTCCTTACATTAAACGCCGGGCGTAAAGCACCATGCTTGGGCCGTGGTGTCACTGAGTCTGATCCTGGAAGCCAGACTGCTCCCCACTAGGCCCTGGGGAAGATGTGGATTCTTCTCCCGGTTCTGGTGGGGTGGGAGATTCGGGAAATGCAGTAACTTGAGTTGAGCCAGGGCGCCTCGGGGCTTTTGGGAGTGCTTTGGGCCCATGTCTGCGCTCTTCGGTGAGTTTTCTCCTAATGGAGCCAGGAGGCGCTGGGCTGTGGGTGTCACCAGCCGGTGGGAGCAGCAGGCTGGCTCAGCCCTGGGCTCCGGGAAGTGGGTCAGCCGGTCCGGCCTCTTTCGCAGCCCCTGTGAAATGGTGAAGACAGCAGCCAATCTGCACAGCTGCTGCGAACGTGAAAGCTGTGTGTTTACACCCAAAATGCCACGCATGGGAAAACAAATAAAATAAAACACTGCCAGAGTGCAGAGGAGCAGCAACACCGAGGTCAGGGAGAATACTCTGGGGGCCTCGCGTCTCATTTCCGGCAGTCGCATGCAACTTCCTTTGTAAGTAAAAGTAATAAAGCAGGAAGCATTTGAAGGAAGACAGTGTGAACATGACAGACTGGGGGGGGTGGATATTACAGTCAAAGATGTTAGGTGAAAAATTAAAGTTTAGGGGCCCTGAACAGTATCTTCTCTAAAAATACTTTGCTGAGCTCCAGAATTCTAGTTTAAATGTTTCTAAAAGTGTATGTAGATCCCTTATAAAAGGTGAAGCAAGGTGGAGTGTGATGGCACATGCCTATAACCCCAGCACTCAGGAGGCTGAGGCAGGAGGATTGCTGCGAATTTGAGGCCAGCCTGGGCTACACAGTGAGCTCAAGGCCAGCCTGAACTGTAGAGCCAGACCTTGTCTCAAAAAGATAAAAAACAATTTGTTTTTCACCATTCAGAAAGCTGTGAAGCTGGGCGTGGTGGCGCATGCCTGTAATCCCAGCACTTGGGAGGCTGAGGCAGGAGGACCATTGTGAGTTCGAGGCCAGCCTGTACTACACAGTGAGCTCAAGGCCAGCCTGAACTGCGTAGTGAGACTGTCTCAAAAAGAAAAAAAAAAAAATCCACACACACATACAACCAGAAAGCTGTGAAATCCAAGAGGTCTAGAAATAATCCACATGCACTGTTTAAATGTTTTTCCATGAAAAGCTTCTGTACAGCAAGAGAAACAATCTAAAGAAAGAGACAACTTAGAGAATGAGAGAAAATAATTGCAAATTGTGTATCTGACAAGGGGTTAATGCTTAAAATACTTAAAAACTCAACCCAATGCAAATAATTTTTAAAGAAAACACACAGACACAGATACCCAATTGCAGAAACAGACAAAAAGCCTGTGTAGACATTTCTCAAAAGAACACATGCAGATGGCTGTCAGATATGTGAACACAATGCTTCTCCTCACCAGGGAAACAGGTCAGCACCACAGTGCCATCATTCACCCCGGAGAGCATGGCTGGGATCAGAAGGACAAACAATAACAAGTGCTGGAGAAGGTGCAGGGAGAGGCAGTGCTTGCACGCTCTAAGCAGGGATGGGAAGTTGTGTAGCCGTCGTGGAAGCCGTGAGGATATTTCTCAAGAGAACTAGCACATGACCCACAAATGCCTGCACTGAATACACAGCTAAAAGGAATGAACTCAGCCTGTGAAAGCGACATCTACATGCCCACATTTATAGTGATTCACAGTAGTCAGAAACCGGCAAGGAGCTGCATCTGTGCTACCAATGAATAGATGAAAAACCCCAGCGAGATAGAGGAACCTATTTCAAAAGAGCGATCCTGCAGCATGGTAAAATAGTGCTCTCTTCCCTAAGCAGTGTAATGCTGCCGTCTTTAGTTAGAAATCACAACAAGCCGGACAGGAAAGGGCAGACACCGCAAGATTCCACTTCGTTAAGGTGCCCAGCGTGGTCCACTCTGCGGGGACAGAAAGAGTGGCAGGGGCTGGGGCTGGGGGAAGGGTGCCACTGTGCAGTGCTTGGAAAACGTCACGTTCCAAGGGAACGGCTTCTGAGACGCGGTCTGCCGGCCGCAGCGGT